GCTTGGGACGCCCCCGTTCTTGCCACCAGGCCGGCGGGAGCCAGGCCGGCGCTCGGGGCGGGGACCCTCGGCAGTGCCGGGGCGAAGTAATGGCGGGCGCCCCGGCCGTGGAGGAACCGGTCTGGGAGTGGGAAAGACCTCGCGCGGCTTCGCTGTCCAGGGACGAGGGGCAGCGTCTAGTCAGTCCTTTCCCAGGGAGGGGGCGGGGCTGGGCCGACAACAGCTACTGCTTTGGCTCCTTCTCTGAAATCCCACATGGGGTGGGGGTTGGCGACTGGAGAACCCTGAGCCTCACAGTGGACCCCTCAACATGGAGATGCCCGGAGACCTGGCTTTCTTTCCGGAACCCTCTGCCTCTACTACCCCCAGCTGACTTCCTGAGGGGAGGTCGAGTTGATGTGGTGGGAACCGCTGAAAAACCAATGGGGCACACAGCCGGCTGTGGCGGTGGCAGACACCCAGAGAGTCTAAGGGGCTGGTCTGAGGGCACACAGGCTGACTGCCTTAGGTAGGTCATGGCGGTACGGGCCACTGCCCAGTGACCCCTGCCTCCAGAAGAATGGTATGGGGGTGGGTAGGTCAACTAGCCTTCCCCTAGGGAAGGTAAATCTTTAATCCCCATTCCTCTGGCTGCTCACCCTCACAAAGGTAAAGGGCTGGTGGGGGGCAGGGCTCTGGCCCCTCCTCCAGTTCAGTAGCTCCCTGCCCTTGATAGTGGGCACATGCCTGCCCTGTGGTGTTGCCCTACAGCCTTTCTGTGCATGGGGATGGGTGGGCTATGGTTAGACAGGGCGCTCAAGAAGCTGGGAAAAGAGTAGGCCTATTCTTCCACTCTAAGATCTGGGCCCATGCCTCATCCTATCCCCATGTCAGCTCTAGGGCCTAGATATATGTTTGCACAGATCTCCCCCTCCCATTTTACAGGTAAAGAAACTGAGGCTCAGAGAGGGAAAAATGACAGCGTTTACAAGGGCCCCCAAGGCCTTTCCCTCTTTATGGGATCTTCTGGCTTTGAGTTACCCAAGACTTGGTCCCCCATGGCCCTCTTTGGGGTTTGTTTGGATCCTGGCACATCCTCTTTGTAGCTGGGGGCCCTCGGGGAGGTGATTTCCCCTCTCTGAGCCACAGTGCCCTCCTGGCTTTTGGAGCTGCTGTGGTCACAGCTTCTGTGAGATGGTCTAGCAGCCAGCCTGACCCCTGCTGTGCCCTGGCACTTTTTTCTAAGATTTACTTATTTATTTTAGAGAGAGAGTGTGGGAGCAGGGTGAGGGGCAGAGGGAGAGAGAGAATCCTCAAGCAGACATCCTGCTGAGCGGGGGGCCACATGCGGGACTCAATCCCAGGACCCTGAGATCACGACCTGAGCCAAAACCAAGAGTCTGGGCCACCCAGGCGCCCCTGCGCCCTGGCATTTTTAATCATTGCTGCTACTATTATCATTATGGCCAGCCTCCAGGGGCAGGCACTGCCCAGGTTGTTGCTTGGAAGAGCAAATCTAGCCTCCCCACACCTGTAGCTACACATGGGCGAGTCCTCAGCAGTTACTGTTTAAACAGGTGGTGGCAGTGGGGGGTTGGGAGGGACCAGGCCTTAGCACCTGGCATGGACAGGCACATGCTACTAGGTCCTCTGCATCAGCCATGCATAACAGGCTTAGTCCTGTTCCCCTGAGCCCTCCTCCTGCCCCCTCCTTTCACCCCGCCTCTTGTCAGCTGAGAGGTAGCCTGGACAGGCCCTGCCTCTGACCTGGCTTGCCTGTCATCACAGCAGGGATGAACAGGCCACTTACCAGCTTTCGCAGGGCTCCCTCGTCCAGACCGGCTAAGGCTTCATCCGCCATCTCGCTGGCCCCTACCTCTGTCCGTCCCCTCCTGGTGAGATCTCCAGTGCCTGTGGCACCTGACACCAGCTCAGGGAATTCTGCAGGAGACAGACATGAATTAGGCCTGCTGGGGCCTCTGGAAACCACAGGCACTTGGGCTCTGTGCCTCAGTTTCCCTCTCTAACCCATGATCATCTGTTGGTGTCCCATCCTTGCTACCTGTGGCCCCTGGCTGGGAGTTCCCCTCTATCCTAGGCTGGCATGTTGAAAACTTAACAAACCAAGGGGGGGAGTCTCTGGTTTCTGCCCAGCTAACTTGATGCCAGAGGCTGTGTGGCCTAAACTGGGCTCTCTCCCTGTCTTAAGCATCAAACAGGGAGAGTAGAGACCTGGATTAAGAAGGCCCACCACAGCCTGCTCACCACCAGGGGGTGCCCGCCAGACTCCAGTTTCCTGCCCCACCCACCTATCCCCAGGGCCTGCCCAGTCCCCTCCCGGACCAAAAGCTGAGTCTCTCTGGCTGTGGGCTGTGCCCATATCCAAATCCATGCTGCCACTACCCTTCATTTCCCCAGGTGATTTAATCCACTGGAGGTAACATCCTGTCTTCCAGTTCTTGACCACAGCCCTCTATACACACCCCTCCCTTCTCCCCTTCCTACCCTCCCCCTGATGCCAATCGTCTAGACCTCATGAAGCCAGGTGTCCCGACACCCAGCTCCTCCTGCCAATTTACAAACTTAGAACTGAATTTCCCAGCTAGAATGGCTTTCAGAACCTGATCCGTCCAACCTCTGGATAGGCAAAGTGAGGATTGAAGAGGGCCAGGGATTTGTCAGAGGGGTAAGGAGGATCCCAAAGACCCAGAGGGCAGGGATGGATTTAATCAAAATCTTGGCCACCTCTGGCTCCTGAAGCCCCCTTCCAAAGTGCTCCTAGGGGCTCAGGTCACTCCCTCTTGCCCCATCACTGCCCATCATGGCCCCCTAAATCCTGGCCCAAACTTCCAGCTCCTTTCTTCTTTTTTCAGCCCTCATGTCTTTATGGAATTTGAGGGACCACAGCCTGACACACCATAGGTGCTTAATGTATGGGGACTAAAATGGTCCCAGGATTGCCCCCCCCACCCCATGTTGATTCATCCCTCAGTCATGCCTTCCCCCTCCCCAGAACAGTCACTTGTCGAGTCACCCCATCCGGTGAAGGGGTCTGGTGGGGTGAAGGGCGTCCCTAAGCCGCAGTTGGGGTTCTTCGGACCCTGCCTGTTCAAGTGGTGGCTTGCCTTTCCCATCCCCTTAGGCTTGGATGGGTGTTAACCACCCATCTTCCCTCTGTTGGGGTCCTTGCCTCTATCAACCTACTTTGGGGTAATCCCCCCGAAGTGCCACTCAGCAATCACCAGACTTTAGGTTCTGTGGACACTCTGAGTTCCCCCATGTCTCCTGAGGGGCAGGGGTCCCTAATGCGAAAGTCAGAACGCCCGGGGGACTATAGGAAGTGTCTTTCTCCTTAGGGACTCCCGCCGCTGCCCCACTTCAGTTCCAGGGCTCCCTGTCACACACACAGCCTGCGGCCCCCGGGGATTAAGAAAGACCTCAGAGTAATGTGGGACGTTCCCCAAGGTGCGTGCCCCCACAGACCAGGGTCCCTGGGGGTCGTGGAGCCTCCTGGAGGTCCGTGGGTGGTATCCTTTCCCGCGGTCTAGAACCTTATCCCATGGCTTAGAGCCTCAGTGGATGGGAGGAAGCTCCCAAGCCTGGGAGTCCCAGAACCCCTGTCCAGATATCCGCGTTCCACCGCCAGGACCCGTAGGGGGTCCCGGTGCCTCCCAGAGGCCTGCACACCCACCTCTCAGTCCGGCCCACCGTTCGGCGCGGGCTCAGGCTAGGTCTCTCGGGATCCGACAGAGACTAGGAACGGTCAGGCGGAAGGCGCCGCAACCGGGATCCCAGTCCCCCTCAGCAACCGTCCCCGAGATTCTGCAAGCACCGCCCGTCCAGCCGCGCCAGCCTCCCTGCCCGCCCCGCCCCGCGCCGCCGCGCCAGCCAGTCCTTAGGAGGGTCCCGCCCATTCTCGTGCCCCATTGGGGAAATTCAATTTGACGGCCACGCCCCCACGTCAGTCCCGCCCCACGCGGGCCGGGTTGTAGGGGATCATAGTCTTGGGGCCACTACCGCTGCGACCTTGGCTGGTTGGGCAGGCATCGGCAGGAGGACGCAGCTTCGCATCAAAGTCAGGGAGGGCGCCCAAAGCCGGGGTAAGTGGCCCGGGCTCGTCCAACTCGTGGAGTCTTCAGAACAGCCCCTCTCCGCCCTCCTCTTTGTTCGTGAAACCTTGTCCCTTCCCCCGACTCCGCCCCCTTCTCGCGTTAGCGTGTGGGCTTGGCTGCGGACCAGGCTGCTTTCGGGACACCTGGTCCCGGTCACCTCAGAGCAGGGACTGTGACCGGCAGCACGTCGACCCTATGTTGGTGCATCTCAAGGAGCATCTCAGGTGGATCAGGATCAATCACAACAACCCTTCCCCAGTCAACACACCTTTGGACTGACGTTGCCTTCATATGTCATGCTTTTCCTTCCGAGCCCCTCAGGGTTCGCCTCTGGTTGCGCTAGACTCCTAAATAGGGAATACAGAGTACAGGCTCTCATTCAATAAATGGGGAAAACTGAGGCCCAGAGAGGGCCAACATGCCCAAGACAACACCAGGAGTCAGCCAGGGGACCCAAGAGCTCAGATCCACTAGGGAGGACGGCCCGCAGTACCTCGTGCTGGAGGCCCAGGACCCTCCCACCGACTCACAGTTCCAGGGTCATTGGACCCTACCTGTTCAAGGAGCCCGGGAGGTGGGGTCTGGAGTCCTGTCTGTCAAATAAAAACAATACCAACTCATTTATTTTGTACTTGCCATGTACCAGGTATAAAATCCCTATAACGACCATTTGAGCCCAGGGTTACTGTCCCATTTTACAGTTGAGGACATGTAATTCATCCCAGCATCTTTTGAGCCCAGAATTTGCTTTTACCCACTGTGATATGGGGTAATGGGGAAGTGGTTTCAGCCTATTGCCCCAGCAGAGCCCCGCAGCCCTGCTGTCCAGATCCTCTGTGACGACCGCCCAGCCACCCCACCTCACCCGCATCTAGAGAGAGGGCCAGTACACTCCCAGACTTTTTTAAAAGGTGTCATCTTATTTAATCCCCACATCCCTGAGGGGTGGTTCCACTTTACACAGGAGAAAATCAAGGCACAGAGAGGGAGGAGACTTTGAAGGTCACACAGGAGGAGGAGCAAACAGACCCCGGTTTTGGAGGCCATGGCTCCAGGTCCCCTTATTCTGGGAGGGTCCCATCTAGGCCCTCTCTACTTGATCTAGATGCCATCTTATTTACCAGAACGAGGGGCACCGCTCTCCAAGGCTAACTCGGTCCTACTTCAAATTTCGTGCTGCCCTGGGAACGGTCGATTGGGGTGGGGCACGCCTAGGTTACCTGGGATTCTCAGGGCCTGCCTGTGTGGCGGCTGGAGGCTCCAATGAATAGCTTGCTTCGTGCTAGCCCCGTCTCCCGGCCCCGCAGGCTGGGAGGAACCACACAGGTGAGTCTGTGCCCGCGGACTTAATATGTCGCACACGCGCTCACCAGATCTTAGCCGTCCGGAAGAGGTGCGTAGGTCCCTCCCTAACCCTAACCAGGTCTTGACGGTACGGAAGAGGTGCGTAGGTCCCTCCCCGCAGTCAAGCCCTCAGGGCTGGGAACCTCCTCCAGACCTACCGGCCTCTTTCTTCCTCCCTGCAAAGGGTGGGGCGGGATGACGGTGGTGGCAAAACAAAGATCAAAGGGTAGCCGGGTACAGTGCCGGGAAAGCTTTCATCCACAGCCCAGGAAGGAGTAAACATCCCATGAGGAGGGCCTGCCTCCATCTTGCTGCCTCTAGGATGGGGGAAATCCTGGAAGACTTCTCAGAGGAGGTGATTTGCAAACTGATTCTTGAGAAAGGGTGTGAAGAAATCCATGACACAGAGAAGATGGGGAAAGTCATGGAAGGGAATTTGTGGCAGGTGAATAGTATGAGTTAAGGCCAGGAGGTTTGTAAGTAGGAGAAGGAGGAGAGATGTGTTTTGGATGAAGCAGGAAATGGAGACGGGGGTGGGCCCTGAATCCCAGGTGAGCAAAGTGCACATTATCTTAGAGGCACTGGGGAGACCAGGCCTCAGTCTATCCATCTGTAAAATGAGGGGATGTGACTGGCCTATTTCAGGCCTTCCCGAGGCAAGGGGCTATAACAAAAAGGGTCCAGATTCCTCCAGGTCCAGTCCTGGACTGGTAGAGCGGGGAGTGGCTGGAGCAGCTCAGGGGCCAAGGGTAATATTTTGCTCCAGTGCCTGAGTCTGAGAATAAATATTTTATCAAGCTGGCAGCGCTAGATCCCTGAATCACCCTGGCTTCCCCTCCCTCAAGCTAGGGTCCTGCTGAAAGGCAAGAGGGGTGATGGGTCTTAGCGCTGGCTCTGCCCCAGGCAAAGTTTTGGTCCCTTCAAAGCCTCAAGTTTCTTATCTGCACAATTATGGCCTGAGCTCCCTAATCCCTTTCCCCCCTAGACTACGCAACATAAAATCCCAAGACTTTCAGGGAGACCCCACCTTGGGGTGTGCTCACAAGCAGCTGTGAGGCCAGCCAAGGCCTGAACCTTGGGCCTATGAGGGAGTCCGGGGGCTGCTGGGCGCGGGGTGGAGCGGAGGGTTAGACATAGGTTGGAGCTGGGCCTGCTGTTGGGGTCTCACAGCCTAGTCAGAGTAGGGAGAGACAAGTTATCTGGACTCTGAAAGTTGTACAGAACGAAGCCCTCACTTGCTGTTTGGCATGCTGAGGGGATGGGAAGGGCAATCTGGAGAAGGGAACAGCATGAACAAAGGAAGGAAGGTAGGACTATGGGGATTTTGTTGGGGAAAAATCAAGCAGGTGAAGCTGGAGCGTGAGGTCCTTGAGGAGAACTGGTCCTTACTGGGGCTGGTGGGATCCAAGGGCTGTAACCTTCTTCCTCATGGGCAGAACTGGAAGCTCCCATGGTCATGGCCAGCAGCCCCAGGAATAGGACTGGGGACCTGTTTGGCAAACCAGTTCGGCAAGGCTGTCTCCCCTATGATGTCATCCAGCTGCTGTGTTCTCTGAGCGACAGTGCCAGATAAACTTCTGGCCTTGGAGGAGAAGGGGGCCGGGCCTTAAGTGCTGAAGGATGGGAAAGGAGGACTCTTCCTTGGAAACTTGGAGGCAAGTGGGCTCTGGGAAGGAGAAAGGGCCCTGGGATGCCTCGTGGAAAAAGGAGAGGATTCAGGGTGGGCTGGCCTGGACCTCTTGTGACTTCTGGGGGGTTCCCTGATGCCTGACATCTAAGTTCATGACAGGGGCTCTATGCAATTGCTGCTCAGTGGGTTGCAGCCTGGCTCCAGATCGCCCTTATAATACATGAGTGGCAATTTTGTTATTACCAGGACCTCATAGCTCTCTAGTCCTGTGAGGTAGAACCATCATTATACAGAAGAGGAGGCAGACTCAGTGAGGCCAGGCCATGCCCACACCTCACACAGGATTTGAACCTGGAATCCTCATCCTTAATCACAGGACCCTGCCATCTGCCATTTGGGATCTGCCATCTGTCCACATGGGCTCTTGTTCTGTTTCTTTTTTTTTTTTTTAAAGATTTTATTTATTTATTGGACAGAGAGAGACAGCGAGAGCAGGAACACAAGCAGGGGGAGTGGGAGAGGGAGAAGCAGGCTTCCCGCTGAGCAGGGAGCCCGATGTGGGACTCGATCCCAGGACCCTGGGATCATGACCTGAGCCGAAGGCAGACGCTTAACGACTGAGCCACCCAGGCGCCCTCTTGTTCTGTTTCTTAACTATTCAGCCTAGCAGCTGAATCTTGGCATTGTAGAGTCCTAGATGCCCACCTTGTGATCCAAATAGGTAATCTGAGTCCCAGAGAGGGCAAGGAACAGGCTTCGGGTCATATAGCAACTTGGAGGGGGAGCCACTCTGCACCCCAGATCCCCAGCCTCCCAAATCCCTTGTTTCCCCCTTGGCCTGGCACACCCAGGCATGAAATAACAACACCTGGCACATACTGAGTGCCCATTATGTGCCATTCACTCATTTAATCATCACCACGGCCCTTTGAGGTAGATGCTCAGATTATATCCATTTGATAAAGACACTGAAGCTCAGAGAGGGAAGGTCACTTGTTCAAGTTGACACAGCATGTTGGTGGTAGGGCTGGGCTCTAAACCTTGTTGTGTGGCCCTTTCCCCTTGAGGGACCCAATAACCCTCACAGGAGGCACAGAAGGACCTCTAGGCGGGAGTGGAGAGGGCCCCTTTGCAGGCTCCAGAGGCGAGCAGGGTCCAGTTGGTAGTTTCCACACAGGCCTGGCCTCTCTGGGTGGGGTAGAAAAGTGCTGAGGCTGTGGAAATACTCTGAACCTTCCCAGAGGAGGCAGCCACGGTGGGAGGGAGTGCTCCGTGCAGACCTCAGAGCCAAGTGGAGACGTGGCGGCTGGACCCGCTGCAGGCAAGGGAGGGCAGGCGGGGTGGGGCCCAAACCCAGACCGGCCTCCGGAGCAGCTTTCCCAACCATCCGCCAGCCAGGCCTGGCCCTGCCTGCCCTTGTAGCTCCCCATCTGGATTTGAGATGAGGACTCTGGGCCTAATAATAGCTGAGTGGCAGCAAAGGCAGCGCCTGAAGCTGCAGCCCGCAGAGGGCTGGGATCCCCCATTGTCTCGTGCTGGCCTGGAACAGGTTTCGGAACTTTAAAAATAATAGCAAGTGCTTATGAAGCGCATACAGGTGCCAAGCTTTGTGCTAAGGCATAGCTCACAGTAACTCATTTATTCCTCACGGCCACCCCAATGAGTTAAGACTGTTATTAGCCCTATTTGAGGGATAGAGAAACTGAGGCACAGAACGTTAAGCAACTTGCCTGTGATGGTTATGGCAGCCTCCAACTGCTGAGCACATACATGTCCGTCCTGGATGCTGGCTTAAGCACTTTAGTGTACTTTCCCATCTGAGGAAACGTCATGAGGCTTTAGAGGCAGATTGTCATTTAATGAGATGAGGAAAAAAAAAACCCCAGAGAGAAAAGGGTCTTGTGCAAGGTCACATGGCTCAAGAGACAGAGTCGAGACTCAAACCCAGGACTCCCAAACTCTAGGGAAGTTAAGACCTTGGCTTCTGGAATCAGACAAACCTGAGTATGCTGGGGACATCACTATGCCTTAGCTGTGTGGCCTTGGCAAATTGCATCCCCTGCCCAAGCCTCTGTTTTCTCCTCTTAAAATGGGGGTTTGGCCAAGATGATACTATACCACCTGCCAGATAGTAAGCCCACCTTGGGGGTAGTAGGTCATTTATATCATGCATTTACATGATGCATTCATTCATTCAATTCTCATAACAGCCCCCAGTGTGGGGACTCCTCTCATACCCATTTTACAGAAGAGAGGGAAATAGGAGGCTCAGAGAGGGAAAGGGACTTGCTCGGGACAGATAGCAAGTGAGTCAGGATTGGAACCCATTGCTGTGATTCCAGAGGCTGAACTCTTACCTCTTTACACCTTGCCCTCTGATACTGAGGCACAGAGAGGGTGTGGGCTATGCCTGGGTCACACAGCAAGGTAGGTCTTTAGGGACATCTGATGTATGAAAGCCAGGAGGGGAAGACCTGTCTGCTAGCCCCAGCTCGCTGAAGTCACAGCTGCTTCAGGTTTGGAGCTCAAGATATCCCCCAGCCTCAAATTTCTGTAAAGATGCCCTGTTCTTCCAAAGGCTAGAGCAAGATCCAGATTTGGGGTCCTCTTCCCCAGGAGGCTACGATGCTGGATTCTGGGTTCAACTAGCAGAGGTGGAGAGGTTCCTTCTGGCCAAAGAGGACCAGTCCTCAGAGTCACCAGCGAAGCTTAGGGCATGAAGAGATCTTCAGGTTTTGCTTAAATCCCGATTCTTCCATTTGCTATCTACTTCATCTTCCTGGGCCTCAGTTTCCTCATCTTTCAGATGGGGACACTAATACCTTCTGTGGTAGATTGTTTGCAAAAGTAACTGCAATTCTTTGCTCCCTATAAGCAAGACCCTTTGCAATGTGACCTTGAAACCCCTCCCCTCAGGAGAAAGAATCTTTTTCCTCGCCCCTTGAATCAGGGCTCAGCCATATGACTTATGTTGGCCAACAGAATGCAGGGGATGTGACACTGCCAGTTCTGAGCCTGGACTCTTAAGAGCTCTTGTAGCTTCTGCTTGTTCTCTTGGAACCTTCTCAGCTGGCTTGTGAACAAATCTGGCTCTCCTGCATGAGGATGACAGACCACCGGAACAGGAACGAGTTGTCCTGGCTGAGGCTGTGCTCGTCAGCCACCAGCTGATCCCACAGCGGACCACAGATGAATGCATAAACCCGACTGAGACCAGAAGAACCTCTAGCTGAGCCCAGCCCAAATTGCCCATCGGTGAAATCATGAGCTAAATAAATGATTGCTCTTTTAAGGCACTAAGTTTGGGGTGATCTGTTATGCAGCATTGCTGTGGCAATTAATAACTGATGTTATTAAGTTTTAAAGTTTATTTATTTATTTAAGTCATCTCTACACCCAGTGTGGGGGTAGAATTCATGGGGCTTGAACTTATGACCCTGAGCTCAAGATTCGCATGCTCTTCCAACTGAGCCAGCCAAGTGCCCCTGGTATACAGTTTTATTCAGTGTAATTAATGGAACAAACCAAAAATCTCTGTGGCTTAACACAATCGGAGTTTATTTCTCACTCACACAAAGTCTGATAAGGGGCAGGGCTCTCGTAACTCACCTCTCTTGGAAGGCACCTCTCTTCCAAGCAATAACTCCCTCACACCCTCCCTGGAATCCATTTTTGAGTCTTCTGTATGCGGAAAGGGAGCCTAGAAATCAAAAGAGGCTCACCTACTCTTAATTGCTTTGCCCAGGGGTGATGTGTAATTTCATTGGCCAGAATGTAGCCACATGACTCTACTAACTGCAAGGGAAGATGAGGCTGTGCCCTTCCTGTGTGCCCAGGAAGAGGGAATAGGTTGGAGAACACAAAGCATTGTTTCTGCCACATTCTCTCCCTCACCAGGCTGTCATGAGGGGGCCAAGCAGAGAATTAACATCTATAAAAAATTAATTCTAGCAACTGGCACAGGGTGGTTTGAATAAGGGACAATTTATAGGTGAAGAATCTGAGGCTCAGAGGTTGAGGAATTTGCCCCAAATCACACAGCGAGCCATTTGAGTAGCTGCTTTGTGGTAGTGAAGGGTTCAGGACAGATCTGGAGTTGGACAGATCTGGGTATATAAGTCTCAACTCTGTCACTTCTTCACTGTGTGACATTAAGCGAGTTCCTCAGTTTCTCTGGGCTTCAGTTTCCTCATCCACAGAATGGGGAGAGGAATAGTTCCAACCTCATAAGTTTGGGGTGAGTGTTCAGGAACTGGTGTGTGTCAAGAGCTTAGCTTAGATCCTGGTAGTGGGCACTGCTTAGTAAATATGAGCCCCCTGTGCAGATGTGATGCTATTTCTGATCTTGCAAGGGTCAACAAATTTATTATGTTTTGCAAATTCTGTCCCTTCTCTCTACCTCTTGTGGTGTGAATGGTCTTATTTACTTGGTTAAGGGAAGAAAACTTTTCCTTGGTTGGGTATTAGTCACTCAACAAACCTTTATAAGCACTAAGCCCCCAAGCACCCATGGCTGTTCTGCTGGCAGAGGTCTGAAATGCTCTCATTATTGCTTCCTTTAGACTAAAGCATGGCCCTGTGAAATGCATCCCCTTCCCAATCCGCTCCTAGGATCATTCCATCAGTGAGAAAGGGGCAGGGCGAGAGGGTCTGGAGCTAATGGGCTCCAGCTGGGGAAAGGCCAGAGCCAGCGCAGACCCCGCTGGGTGTGTGGTCTAGGCTTTCTGCAAATGTCTGCCCACACAGAAGCAAGGGTCCAAGATGGGTAAGAAGAGTCTTCCCCTCCCCTTTTCCCCATGTAAGCCATCTCTGAGCCTCCTCTTGCAGCCTGCCAGACAGAGGTTCACGAGCATATGCTGAAACTTGGCAGGTCTCATGGAGCTGACAGTCTGGATGGGGAGACAGACTCGGCAGACAGAGCACCATATAAAGTTATCATCACAGATTCGGGTGAGCTCTGTGAAGGAGGGGCCGTGTGACACCATGGGAGCACATCCTGGGGACCTACTTTAAATTATTTTTAAAGTTGTGTTTCGAATGGATAATCCTAGGAGGTCAGAGAAGGTATCTCTCAGGAGATAATTATGCTCAGATCTGAAGGCTAAGAAGAAATTTGCTGAACAAAGAACTGAGTTGGTCTTGGGGTGAGGGGTGGTGTCACAGGCAGGGGTAATAAGTGTAAATGCAGGAACAACCTCCAGGAACTGCTGGAGGACCAACGTGACCGCAGTTTGAAGGGTAAGGGAGGAGTCAGGTGGGAGTAAGAAGGGAAAGGGGAGCGGGAGCCAGGCCAAAGGGTCCCAGTAGGTGGTGTTGGCTATATAATTTGTGGGGTCTGGTGCAAAATGAAAACAGGAAGGCCCCTGTTCAAAAATTATTAAGAGTTTCAAGATGGTGACAGTAGAGCATTAAACCAAGCACGGGGCCCTGTGGAACTGCACAGATCATACACCTGTGAAGTTGGTCCTGTCTGTGGACCATGGTAAGAAGGAAAGACTTCAATGAGGGCTGGAGGGAGCCACTGAAGGCTTTTGAGCTAGGAGTGATAAGCTCTGATTTGCATAAGCTTTAGTTGCTGTCTCACTACCCCACACCTGGGTGGTATGTGACCCTCTTCTTTGCACAGGTGGCCTGATTCACTTTCCTGAAATACTTTACTCAGAAGGTCATTCTCCTGCTCAAGACCCTGCAATGGCTTCCACCCCCTAATCAGATCCAGCCCAAACTCCCAACACAGACGCTCAAGGTCCTTCATAATTTGCCCTCCCACGATTTAGTTAACCTGTTGCCAACCCAGGCTGTGTGCTGAATCCCAGAGATGATGAACTAACTTGAAGACATGAAGCAATTACAGGAGGGCAAGCCGGGACTAGAACCCAGGTCTCCTGATGTTTTCCCACCCTGCCTTGGAGGAGTGTGAAGCCTCACAGTGTGCTTTGTGCCCCCTCCCCCAACCTAGCACAGAACCTTGCTTGATATGTGCCTGTGGAGCACATCTTTGCCAGGGTAATTGTGTTCCAGGGCCCAGGATGTAGTTAGTGTCCTTTCTGACTCCTCTCCATCCCCGCTACCCCTAGGCATTCACCAAGCCCCACTGCACCCCGGGGTGCCTGGGGCAGGGCTGGTCCTGCCCACAGACATGTGTCTGGCCCACATAGCTTTTTATTTTATTTTTTAAAGATTTTATTTATTTATTTGACAGAGAGAGAGCACAAACAGGGGGAAGGAGCAGAGGGAGAGGGAAAAACAGGCTCCCTGCTGAGCAAGGAGCCCGGATGTAAGCTCCATCCCAGGACTTCGGGATCATGACCTGAGCTGAAGGCAGATGCTTAACCGACTGAGCCACCCAGGCGCCCTACACAGCTTTTTAAAAGCTTTTTAAATTTGTCATTGACATTTAAAAATCAGGAAATTTCATAGGGAAATCAGCATTTTTGGTTCTCTGTAGTCGCCAGCCTGGGTCTGGATTTCCCCAAGGTAGCTGCTCCCTTCTGAATGAAGTCAGTCTTCCAAAGGGGTTCTGCCCTAAGCCCCCACTGGCCCTGTGGAATTTTGGACCTTGAAGAAAGAATGCCATACTTTTCACCAAGGAGCAATCAGGATTCTGGAATCTGACCAATCAGGTGAATAACTCCTCCTTTGGGAGGCGGGGCCAGGAAAAGTAAACCCTGCCCCCAGCCTTGGCCGACAGGAAGAGGGAGGGATGCCCATGACCCGTGTTGCTGGTGTGGGTGAGAGCCCCTATATAATGGGTAAATTTGTTTGCAATTAAGGAGTAATTAGTTACCAGCTAATTAATGCACAATACAGCTAAGGGGCTGGGAGGAGAAAAAGGGACTGAACCTCTGAAAGAAAACTCAGGTCTCTTTCTGGAAAAATATTAAGAGAGGGCAATGAGGAATCCCCAAGGTAATGTTTGAAAACCTCTTTTATGTTGCTGAAGGAGATTTAAATGTTCAGAAGCCCCCCCACAAAGGATTTGGTACCTTTGAGAAGCAGTTGGGTCTAACCAGGCTGTCGTGGTTGGGGCTGGAAGGAAGGAAGAGTAACCCTTTCTTACTCTGCAGGGCAAATGCTTTTGGGTATTAGGAAAGGTTCTTTGCAAAAACTAGAAACCCCCCTGGATCACCCTGAGCAAAAGGGGACTCTATTAGAAGGCCATCAGAAGTGGTATCAAGATAATAAAAATCTCAAGGTAGAAACAAAAACTCATTGTTTTAGTCCAAATTGGTTTCTGGTGTCCAGACTTCCTTGTGATCAGCCTGTTGGTAAGAAGTACACACTTTTTGCATCCGAAGTGTGGTCCGTGGACCAGCCTTGTTGGAAATGCAGAGTCTCAGGCCTCCCCCCAGACCTACTGAACCAGAATCTGTATTTCAACAAGATCTTCAGGGAAATTCATGTGCACATTATAGTTTGGGTCTGTGGCCACAAGAATCAACTGAGTGCTGAGAAGGAGGATATTTCATAAACCTGAAGGTTCCTAGGCCTTCGAGAAGAGCTGTTGCCTCCGTGGTCTACAGGAGATGGGTGTCTTCCAGGATCCACTGGGGAGAGGTCAATAAAATAGGCAAATAGTCTTGAGCTGCTGCCACCAATTCCTACCCAGGTGCTAGTGGGGCAAGAGTCTGGCCTAAACCAGCTGGCTCCCCTGGTGGGAGATGGGCTGGAGAAACCCGAGCCTGTGACTTGTCAAGGAGGAAACTGCTCCGGACCCTAGAGGGAATGCCCTGTATGCTGCTGGGTCTCTCCTTAAGGGGCTCTATTTTGAGGCACTCATCTGCTTGGTTGAAGGAAGGCAGAGGGTGGTCTGGGCTGGGACCTTTCACCTTTCTGCTTTGCTCTGGGCAGGCAGTTCCTAAAAGATGCCCTTGGGGCACAGAATGGGAGTAGCAATATTGACTTGGCCCTATAAGGAGTCACAGAGCCCCTTCACCCTTTATTATATTTGATCTTCATAACAATCTCATACAAAGAACCAAAAAGAAACAGCCAAGTATGATGGTTCTGCCTCTAAAAAGGGTTAAATTCAACCCCAGGAGTTACTGTAAGAGCTAAGTTTAGTGAGAGCTGCTACTTAACTTGTACCTCCCTCTTGGTTTGTTAAAGTCCTGTTCTCAAATTAGAAGTGCTGTTGAGTGAGGAGGTTGGGTCAGGGGTGAGCTCATCCTTTCACATTATTCATTTAAAGTATGAAAGTATGAAAAAAAGTTGTTCATTTAAAGTATGCCCCTGTTAGAGCTCTCCGTAAGAGACAAGTATCCATCCAAGCTTGTTCAATACTTGGTGGGG